CAGGAATTGGAAAAGTAAGGGCCACATTCCTACAGCTGAAGAATATATAGAACTCAAACCAAGTGTTAACCAATATCGAAGTCACAATCTTCAAACTGAACGTCGAAACTGTTTTACTGTACAGATGTATTGTCGGTTACTATGTTGAGTCCACATTTTTCTAGCTTCTGGATAAGCCAATTTATTCATCCTCCTTTAGTCACATTTTGATCTTGTTAATTATTCGCTCATCAACCCTGACTGTTTTTATGTGGGCGTACATGTGTTCATTACTTATTCTATTCATCACATGTCTGTAGCGTATTTTCATCTGATTATAAATATCAATTGACGCTTTATTAAATTGAGTTGGCTTACACGCCCGCACTACGCGTCATTTCGCTTTGCTCTCTTCTCTTCACTTCGTTTCTATGATTGTCTGTTCAAATCAATGAGTGTACCAAATATACTCATTTAAAAATCTATTCTCGTATTTGACTTATTTAATTCCGTTATTCATCAAAGCGATTTATGTGGATGATTATATACGAGGATTCGCGATATGTACATTTTGAGATCAATCATTCATACTATCTAATTGGAGTTTCAATCTGAAGAACTAGTACAACTATCATCAAAAATGTACTAGCATTTCCACACAGTTGTCTACTCAAGATACTCAATGACCGTTGACCGGATACCATCTGCAACATCCTATTTGAGAGAACAAACCAGCTTCCATTTGAAAAGGAAATTATTACAAAACGCTGTAAGTGGATAGGACCGACATTACGGAAATCACCAAACTGCATCAAGAGATAAGCATTAATTGGGAAATCCTCCAGGTAAAAGTAAAGGGCGCATACAATATAACACGTCGCGTTCGGAATTGTATACAAACACCAAGAGAATGAAGAGCAATTAAAAACATCCATGAAGAAAAGCCCAGAACAAAGTTGGCTGAAGAATCCTGGTTGATGGCCTATAAACGACGAGGTGTAGGAAGCATAATTAGTTGATCAAACAAGTAATTACACCAGTAATCGACAATTGGTAAATAACAGGATCGGTTAGACACAAATAGACCGAAAAAATGTTAGTATTGGAGTAACATTAGAATCGAACATCTAGGAATAGATTCGTATTGACACTGAGACTGGTAATCACCTGCAATTTTGTAAGGATAGAAAAAACACAGGCAACAGAATATCCAGCAATTATATTGTGGAGAAATAAGCTCAGTAAGTCTGGATAAATCTGCACTGAAATGAAGTCAATTTTAAACTGTACGAAGTGTCGAGTGGTCAGCGTGTCTTAAGCGTGTAAAAATGAATATAATAATGTAAACTGATTAACAGATAAATAAAAAGATAGATGAATATGTAGCCAAGTGAAGTAGTTTCGGAATGATTTACTTGTAAGGCATTCGAATTATTAAGACTGAATCCTGATGGCCAACATGCTTGTGCGATCTGGTGAAGTATAAATTAACTTGGTATTGTTTGTTTGAATCTTCCCATTGACGTTTAGGACTGTAATTGATCAGTCTCTTATTAGTATTTGGGCATACTGTGCGTATTTCCTAGATATAGCCTTAATTCGCAAGCATTATATACAGAGATGGATAGTGGCTGGCAGTGGGATACAGGGCACGCGTTTCTTTCTATTTTGGACTCGTCATTTGGATTTACATGCACCTCAGAGTTGATGTTCACTCTGAGACTCGAACTGAGTACCTTCCTCTTCAAACGCTATCTCATTATCCACTTAGCTACTGAGTTCTGCATATATTGCTTGTGAATTAAGGCTATATCAGTCAGTCAGTCAGTCAGTGACAACGTAGAACTTCGTACGTACGTACATCAGTTCGAATTGCCACGCCACATTAGCACAGAGATGCAGTTGTCGATTCAAATCCTATAGTGGTAGAGGTGGTAAGAGTATAAGCAGGAATTGGAAAGATTAGGGTTTGAAGATGTTATTGAAGGAGTTTAATCCAGTGAAATAAATTTGGAAAGAAAATAAGCGACATGAAGAATTGAGAAGATTAGAATTTGAGAGAACACAAAGAATGAATGCACCTGCGCCATTGCAAACGATTTTGAGCCATGTCATTCAGGGTCTCTAACCATCGATTGCTATCATCTCGCGGTCCCCAACCACGTAGTCTGCACCTACCGACATGACTCAGACCAGTTGTCAGTGACTTCATGGACTTGTGCCATGTTTTGGTCTGGCCGCCCCTAGATTTCTTCCAACCTACTCCTATACCACTGAACATAGCACGTCGAGGTAGTCGGTCGTTGGGCATACGTAACACGTGTCCCAGCCATCTCAACTGATGAAGTTTCACTACTTCATCAATTGATTTGCCATCCTTACCTAGTACCCGTTTCTTAACAACTGTGTTACTTACACGATGGCCCCAGGATATACGAGCAATGTTTCGAAGACACCTATGATCAAATAGTAGTAACCTACGAATATCCTCTACTCTTACCGGCCATGTTTCACAGCCATAAAGTAGGACGGAACGAACTGCTGCGCAGTAAATCCGTCCTTTGTTTGATAGACGGATATCTCGCCTAAGCCATAAATGACGCAAGTTGGTAAAAGCTAGTCGAGCCTTCTGTATCCGTGCTGAGATTTCGTCACACACCAGACCATAAGGGCTGATGAGACTTCCAAGATAAGTGAAGCGATCGACACGCTCAATTACTTCACTCCTTATCACTAGTTCGGGTGTCAATGCAGCCCAATCCTGAAGCAACATTTTGCATTTCGAGAGGGAGAATCGCATCCCGAACATGCTTGCATTGTTGCTTAGAGTGGTCAGAAGACTGCATTTTGTCAGCGTCTTCACCAAATAAAACTATATCATCAGCATATTCTAAGTCAACAAGTGAACCTCCCGGTAGAAGTTCAGCCCCTGGAAATTTAGACGAGGGAAGTGTTATCTCTAAAAGTACGTCAACAACAAAATTAAACAAGAGTGGAGAGGTTGGACAGCCATTAAGACTGTATCGAGGTGATACGCATATTATGCACATATATCAATAATAGACTGATCGATTGCAGTCCTAAACATCAATGGGAAGTTTCAAACAAATAATACCAAATGAATTTAATGTACGTATTGTTTTTTGCTCAATCAAATATCGTATTCCAACCAACAAATAAAGTATTCATTCTACTACATTCAGATGCATGTATTTCTTTTTTTACATGAAATTATGTACATCAATGCTTTGTGTTTCTGCGTACAAATTAGGATTCCACATCACTACTTTAATTTAGTACTTACAACATATAGAGTTGTTGTTTCGGTTTATTCAGCTGCAATTATTTTTATTTCAAATGTCAGTTTAATAAACTGAAAGGGGTCATGGTCGGTTTCCAGATGACTAATACATGTGAGTAAACAAATTACTGAGTAGCATTTGTTTGCACATCACTTCATAAGATTTCATCAAATCACAAAATGAACTTTTTTTTCGAAATAATATATAATGTGTTCAATAAAAAATTTAGTATCATTGTCGGCTCAGTCATTCAATGTTGAAAAGTAAAAATGTGTTCGTTTATGATGCTGTTTGTAGACAGACTTGGTTTGATGTAGTTGTAGTTGTAGTACATTTTTTCAAAAATCAAAATTGGTAGAGTCACAAAGCGAAGGAATTTATTAACATAGTTGTCAAATGCTATTTGATCTTTGCTCTTTTGTTAACTTGAAATTAATTGTCATATATATTTTCACCCTAAAAAGGAAATCAAATTTGTTAGATTATAACCGACTGAGAATGAACTGTTAAAATACCATATAACCCTGTTTATTAAATAGCATTTGCAAATCATTTTCGAAATTTTAGTCTGTCATATTCTCCAATGCATTCTTCAAACCAAACTGCTTGATTTTATGACAATAATGAGCTTTAAAGAACATCTCTTTCATAAGTAATAAAAGAATATTTATTTTTTAAAACTAAATTGTTGGGGTGATCCAGAAAATTGCTTGCAAAAGACAAGCAAGTATCAGGAAACACTAAGATGCGTTTCATTCAATCGGCATTCACTTGAAGTCTTAGCCAAAAATATCAAGGAAGTGAAACATCACATGCAGAGGCTCTGATTGGTTGTCTGTTTAACTGCTACTATGTTTAGTGGCATTCCAGAATCTTCTAGCAACTCGAGGAAGTTTAAAATTTTATAAAAACCCTGTATTTTCTGTATTAAAATGAACCTTGGAGTAAACTACTTCTCGCATACTTTGAGTCTTCTCTCTCGTGTTCAAGTCACTCTATAGTTCTAGCTTGGGCGTTACAGAATAGCTTAGGAGAAGAATATAGCGTTCGAATCCGCAAGACTTATCATAGATATTCAATACTTTTTTTGAGTAATATAAAAATTGGATTACTGATCTGCTTGAAATTCCATAATGAGCACACAACAGACAGCGAATAATCATGTTTCAATTTTATTTGAATACCAAGGTTATTTATTATCATTGAATCAAATAATATAAATTCTTGCATAGAAATAATTTAGCTTTGTTGTCAATTTCCTTTTATTCTTTTCCATATTCTTTTTTTGATAACGTTCCAATACTCTAATATTTATGTTAACTTTAAAACTACTAAATTTGACATTTGTCCTTTCATAAACAAACAACTGTTGACTTTGTACGAACCAATGAAAATCGAGTTGTCAATATAGATGACCTTAATTTGTTTTAAATTATACAAAGAAAAGAATGTGAAAGATTTGATTTTCATAAAATAGAAACAAAAAATAAGAAAGGATATATTATTTGAAACGTATCATATTTATTTTGTATTTGTTCATACTTTATAGTTGTAATTGATACGTACATGTTAGTACCGAAATTGACTGACACTGATGAACCACAAATAAATCATCTTAGTAAAATTAAAAAATATAAAAGTGATAATATTTTCACATTGTTTCAATCACCTCATGAAAAAATATTTCCGACTGATTATGATTATTCTCCAAGAAGAAATATGAAAAAGTTTGTTCCAAAATATTTACAACAACAAGAACAACAACGAGCTTATAATTCTAAAAATCAAAATAGACGTCGAACAAGACGTAAACATTTAAGGAAGACTGATTGTGACGAAGATATAGTTCATTATAATGATGACGAAAAGGAGTACGACTATGACGATGAAATTGAAGATGTTGATGATATTGATCGCAGCAGTGAAAATCTAAGTAAACATAATTTTGTCATTAAAGAACAAAATTATGTAAAGAAGAGATCTATCATGCCTTCACATAATTATGCAGATATAAAAGATATTTTAACTTATCAGAATACATCAGATAGTTGTATATTTTATTTAACGTTTAATTCCAATAAATTAATTGGACCATTTATATTTCATCCGTATTTGAGTAAGTTCATTGAGTTCCATTAATTTTTAAAAAAAGTATTACTTCGAACATTTATGTGAATTTCAATCTCAACAATAAGCTTAAATATAAAATGTATGGATGAACAAATAACAGTAAACTATTCATACCTCTAAAAAAAGCTCATTGTTATTAAACATTTATATGATGATTACAATGTTTACAATTTTAAGCCATTGGACCAAACTATACCGTATATAAAATTTGAATTCAATAACTCTCGATATAACATATCAATTATACTGACTCCCGTTTGTCATCTCCCCAAAAGCACTCAAACCAAAAGATCATAGCTTTCAATTACCATTTCAAGGAATCTATTTCTTTTAAGCACATTCTATTAATCAGCATATTATCATTCAGACAAATTATTGCGGTTACGTTCTCATTTTGAAATCGATTTAGGTATTAGCTAAGTAAAATTAAATAATTAATTAATTTGTGTTTAGTGATTTATTACCAAGTTTTAAATGGTTGAACGCAAACTGCTCCATTCAATCAAAAACCATTTATCACACAATAGCGTTGTGTATTCCACTCTAAACCCATCACATTTTAAAGGAAAAAAAATGACAAACTTTAAGCTGTACAATATTTAATCTTTTTTTTTAAAAAGAATAAATGTAAATGAAAAGATCATATAATCTGAAAATGTTGTTTTTTGGCTCATAAACGTTATGTCATAATGAAGTCTCAATAGGGAGTTGAAATATGAAAAAGACATTGTTATTGCTTCTCGCCAGATAAAACGACATGAAACGTTGGGATCTAGATATGGGTATGTACAACTCGACGCTAATATAAAATTTGGTCGGAAATCGATTTAATAACCATAATAATTCTATTGAATTGTCTACAGACTATTGTTTCCTTGTACTTGAGAATATTTTCAGGTCAAAACAATAAAAAAATTAACATTTATTTCTTTATTTTTAATATATATATATATATATATATATATATATATATATATATATATATATATATATAGTACTCGTACAGTGGATTCTGGTTACTGATACATTAACTCAACGGTAAAAACAGGGAAAGAAGCTGCCGAATCGATGACCAATAAGAGCTTAACGTTAACTTAAAGTTATTAGTGCTGAAACAGATTCGGATTGTTGTTTTTGTCGGGTGATATTAATGAGGGTCATCAAGTCGTAACAATATTTGTTTCTCAAAATTAGCAAAAGTATGATAAGTTATCGCTGTTTACATAGAAGGGTATTTGTAGTTTGGCATTTCAGTTAAATCGGTTTCAATTCAACTTAGAAACGAATAAATAAAGACACAATTACTTCAAGCTTAAGTGTAGTGATTTGAAAAACCCTCTTATATTGCATATAGAATTCTGTATAAGTAACAACAATCACTTTAAAGTACGAGTCACCAAAAATTAAAGCTTTGTTGATTATTTTTTAACACAGTGACATTATCTGAAAGAACAACAATGGGTAATTATTTCGTCATGATTTCAAACTCCTAATCAGTACGTAGTCATAGTTACATATGAAATTGAACATAAACCTTTCAGACATGGGAATAAATATGATATGCTTAGATTAATTCGACATGAAAACAACAATGAATATTTCTTCACATATCAATAAATATGCAGTTTTTAGAAGTAATATTAATGCTTTATAGAATCAATTTTTTCATAAGAACAAATTGTGACAAACTATGACAATAATTCTGGTGTATTTTTGACCTGAGTTTTTCAGTAAACTCTTAGAATTAAACTTTTTATTGTCATAACCTAGCACCAACAGTAAGGTATGGTTTCTATTAAAAAAAAATAACCATAAAAGTAGTCAATGATCATTAGATTTTGACCATAAATGTAAAAAAGAGAATTTACTGGAAAAATGCCTTTATTAAAATTGTTTTATGTTTTGGTCGAACTTTCAGTGCTTAGGATATCCACAAAATAGTATTATAGTGTTTCATGATTTTACGTTTATGCTTTATTGATTAATTTTAATAATTCTATCATTTTGTTGTATACTTTATTGTTTCTAATTAGATCAAGAACAAGATAAATACACAGATATATTTATACAAAGTGGAAAAATAAATGCCTTTAATCCTAAAGGTAAGTATATATATATATATATATATATATATATATATATATAGATAGATAGATAGATAGATAGATAGATAGATAGATAGATAGATAGATAGATAGATAGATAGATAGATAGATAGATAGATAGATAGATAGATAGATAGATAGATAGATAGATAGATAGATAGATAGATAGATAGATAGATAGATAGATAGATAGATAGATAGATAGATAGATAGATAGATAGATAGATAGATAGATAGATAGATAGATAGATAGATAGATAGATAGATAGATAGATAGATAGATAGATAGATAGATAGATAGATAGATAGATAGATAGATAGATAGATAGATAGATAGATAGATAGATAGATAGATAGATAGATAGATAGATAGATAGATAGATAGATAGATAGATAGATAGATAGATAGATAGATAGATAGATAGATAGATAGATAGATAGATAGATAGATAGATAGATAGATAGATAGATAGATAGATAGATAGATAGATAGATAGATAGATAGATAGATAGATAGATAGATAGATAGATAGATAGATAGATAGATAGATAGATAGATAGATAGATAGATAGATAGATAGATAGATAGATAGATAGATAGATAGATAGATAGATAGATAGATAGATAGATAGATAGATAGATAGATAGATAGATAGATAGATAGATAGATAGATAAAATATTAAAATGTACTCTTCTTTAAATTAGAAAAGTCCTTGCTTTCTACCCAAACATATCAGATATAAATAATATATAGTAATTCACAAGTCAGAATAATGGTAGTCTGACAGATGCTTCATTTATGGTAAGATTATTACTTCAATTTCATAATCGTTAGTATTGAAATAGTCACAATTTTGACAGAATTTATTATTTGTCGTAAATAGAAATGAACCTAAAGCGGGTACTTTTATGTGTTTATTTAATTACAATCTTTTTTACTAAATGTCACAAATCACATGATACTGGTTTATATGACTTAATGAAACGAAACAATTAACGGAAGATTATTTACACTACAAAATGAAAACAATTTAAGAATGACTAAAAACTAGGAGAACTTGATTTGTTCTAATGTCGGACCTTCAGTATTGCTTACTCTTGAGATTACATTATATAACATAAGATTCTAAATAATATAGAGGAGAAAGTTAGTTTAACTTCATGCAACATTAGATACAACAGTTTGTATAAGTACTAAAATGTATTGTGTCACACATGATTCGAATCGATTAACCATATATTATTATTATTACTAATACCTTTATTTAGTATTATATTTTTGGAACAATATACAATTGTCAGCACTGAGTATTGTAACAAGTCTTTTTACGAAAAAAATAAATAAAAAAGAAAAAAAGGGAATAAGATCGATAACTGCATATACATCGACATAAATAATGTAGATAAACTACTTGGAACATGTTTAAGAATACAAGTTGCTGACTTGGTCGACTCTAAAGACCTGCTTGAATGCATGAATTATACTATATTGACGTTCCGTTCTACTGGAAGATATACAAGGAGAAAAGTATGAATGAAGTGTATGATTCTTATGTAATAAAATAACACCTGTTAGGAGTGTGCAAGATTTTAGATATCTATCCACAACCATACTAATAATAACCTCAAAAGATTTCTTACATACCCTGTTAACTGCCTTCAGCACTCTCCACAATACAACAAAGTCTTCTCTTAAAAGCCCAGGGAAGAATAATGGAGAACAGTAAAAAAATAATAGGTAATACTCGAGAATTAACAACTTGTATGAGTAAACGTTGAGTAATCCTAAAAGCATGTAGCCAGTTTATGTAGTACGTCAGACGGAAAAAATTTACACCAAGTTAATTGACATTCGGCATTGTGTTTATCAAAGAATATCCGTTAGTACAAGCTTCCTGGTATTGCAACAGGGTATTTAGGTGCTGCACATGTCCCAGGTTGAAGTTAACAGTTTGACATTTAGGCAGGTTAATTGTGAGACCATTAACAACAGACCACCATTCTATACGAGACAAGAACTCATTCATTTCAAGGGGAAGTAATGAGATAAAACTCGGCATACATACAGTAAGATCGTCCACATACTTAACAAAAGTGTTTTCTGTGGAAGATGGCAGTTCATGCAGAAAAAAAGAGAAGAGGACAAGAGGAAGGACAGCCGTTTGTGGTACATCTTCATGAGACAGTAGGGATGTCACACAATTTCCTCCAAGCACAGTGTATTCATCTCTTCCAGTGAGGTAGGAACATAACCAATTGGTTATTCAGCTGTCGATGATGCCGCTGATTAACTTGATAAGTAAAATTTTTCTTGGAATAAGATCAAAAGCAGAAGTATAATCTAATAAAGCTCACCGAACATACTTCTTACCCTTTTCTAAGCTAAACATTATATTATTATGCAGAAAAATAGCAGTATCTAAGGTGCTTCTTTTTCATTTGTAAGCAAAATACACGGATAAATATGCTCTTTTATGGCGGGTTGAAGTGAGAGTAGTAATAGTTTTTCCGTTTTTTCAAGGAAAAGTAAAGTTTTTTCTATGATTCTAAATTTTACATTCTTATTGCCATCTTTTCCTCTGTTCTTGAATTTTATTGATTGGTTGCCTTCTTTGTCTTTAATAGGTCTCTCTAGCTTACTGTATTTTCCTGCCAGCTTCTTCATCGTATCATTGAGTTGTCTGATATTTCTTTCTCTTGCAGCTTTATCCACTGTCATATAAAAAACAGTCAGGGTTAATAAACGAATAAGCGACAATGTAGAAATGTTACTCAAAAAGAATGAATAAATTGGTCTGTCTGGAAGCTGGAATAAGCTAAACAACTACTCTATAAACTTGTGAATAAAGGAAGTATGATATCGGATGACTGATGTACAAAAGATTTATTTAAGTCATATTCAGATGGTTATCGCTTTTGCTATGTCTCTCACCTGTAAGCTCTTTAAATAGCTTCCACATACTTCCACAGTTTGTACAAGATAGGAGCTTATGAGTAAACCTTGAGTTGAGACATATACTTTCTAGGTTTACTAGACCATTTAGCTTTCGAACATCAAAGGAGTTTTTCCCCTTGTACATTATTTCTTTCACCCTCCGTAATCGGTTTAGTTATGGAAATGTATGTCGATTAAAATGATCTCAGTGAGACAATAAATATCAAAACAAAATTTAAGATAACTAATGATAACATCAACGGTGTTTTCCAACGAGTCATCTGTAAATCATCCCTAGTTAGTTGTGGAAAACATGTTTTTCAGACTTTGGATATTTTCTTCTGTGTAACTCCTGTAATTGACTTTCTTTGTCTTATGTGAGGGTGTACTCTTTCAAAGACCGTCGATTATGAAATATTTCAGTAGCAGAGAAAACCATAAAAAACATACTGTTTTTCTGATAATAGAAATAATATTATATGTATATAATTTCTTTTAATAACAATCCATCTAATCTTCAATTTATCCGTAATTATCAAGCCGAACATTGTTAACGCCACTTACTCTTTTTCTAGTGCTAATTAAATACTCAATGTCATCTATGATCACATTTTGACAAATTTAACACAGAACTAACATGTCTAGTCTGTTATAAAGTAGCTCTCACTTATTAATAACCTATTAGCTAAAAATTTCGGAAAAATTGTGATTTTGTCCTATTTTTGGATCTATTTTATACTTTATATAGTACATCCTAAAAATATTTGAGCGTGACCCTGACAAACTTTGATCCAAATTTTGTGCCGTAAAAAAATCTATAATAGATTTCACTTGTTTTCAGATATATGGTCGTTAGACGATGATAGAGACAATGAGAAACATCTCTTTGATAAACATTTCAAATTTCAAAACTCTTCTTTCGTGTTTATTATCATGAAGAATCATACTTTTGATAATCTTGATAATGTTCACTATACTTATTTATTATACACTGACCTAATCACGACAACTGGTTTTGATAGAACGGATTCGATTTTCTATCATCTAAGTGAATTCACAATTGGTCTGCTTTTGAAAAAAAGTTATTTATATTTAAGATTCCCATATATATATTTTTCCTTTTTCACTGTAACATCATCTATCTATTCAGATCTTTTAAACATGAGGAACCATCGTGAAATTCCGGTGAATAAAATACAAATTACTGATCAAATTCTTGATGCTGCTTATGATTTAGGTATGTGTAAATTAACTACTGATGATAAAAAAATACACTTAAGGTATTGATGATCTAACATTGTTTTGTAAATATGTAATTGTTATGTAATAAATATACTGCATGTTCATTTTGATATTTATTGATAATCAGTTACTAGCGGTTTAAAAATCCCAATAGTTGAATAGCCACTTAGTTGCATATATATTCTAATACTCACCAATAGAATATATTCCAGTATGTGCTAGTGAAGGTTGTTGGTTTTCGTTGAAATCATGAATTGATCTAAATTAGGTAACCATTGAAAAATTAGAGCACTGGACGGCTATTTCGTTATAGTATGAGAGTCTTCAGAAGTGCATATCCACGACCCTACAATCAGGAATCGAAATCAGGACCTTCCGTCATACGCGCGAAAGTTTAACGTTTAGACCACTAAAACGGGACCCAGTGGTACTCACATTTAACTCCAATCAGCACATGATATTGCGTGACTATCGTAAATTATCTTCGATGAGTATCTTCCCCACATTCAACACAACTGATCTCTACTAAGTATCTAGTGTTTTTTATCCTTAATAAAACCGTATGTGTTGAATTATCACAATGAATCATATAATTCTTGGTAAGCGCGAAACAATCATTCCTAAATCCTGAAAGCGTTGAAAAACCTTAGACTAATATAATTTAAAATTAATGAAGATGAGTTAGTACGTACAACTAGAATTTAGTTGTTCTATGGTCTAATTATTTCTCTTAGCTCTATAATAGAACAATTCTTTACATGATAATAAATGTTACAATGACTTAATGAAGAAAAGCTAATGTGTTCCTGATTAAAGGTTTTACTGCATAAAAAATGATACATCCTTTTGTATAGTCCACAATGTAATTAATCATATCAAAATATTTCTAAGAAAACTAACATGGTGATTTTTAATGACTGATGGCTTAGTAAACATAAAAATCACGAAAGATAACTCAGTGCTGTTATTTATCATTTACATATTTCTAAAATATAATTAAATTAAATATTGTCTCAGTTTTAATTCATTTCAATAGTTGAGACCATGAGTCAATTGAAGCAAGATCATCATGGAAAATCTGGAAGCACTGTACGGCCGTTTCGTCCTATTGTGGGACTCCTCAGCAGTGCGCATCCACGACCTATCAGTCTTGCGCGCGAGCGTTTAACCACTTAACCAAAAAAATTACTTTCATTGATTCAAAATGTAAAAGTAATAATATCTACTTGTAAATAGGGTATCAGTTAGAAGTATTCACTATACTTGAAAGATTTTTATTTTAATAACTATACTTTAACTAAAGTTTTCATTTAACTTGACTAGAGTTGAAATCATTATGGTTTCAGAAAAAAATTTCTTAATACATTTTAATGGAATTACTTTCATATCTGTTTGATATGATGGAAAGAAAAGTCAATATTTGATTGAATTACTCATTATGAGTTTTATTCAACATGACATCCGTTTTGATTCAACGTGTGGATCATTCAGTGTAGTATTTGATTTGTTTTCCCAGGATGATATTTTATTCTGTATAATATACGATATTCTTGTATTCCATTGACATGAACTACGCTCAGCCTGTGACTTGTTATATATGTGATTTCATCCTAAATATTAACCAAAATGGGTGTACGACAAATATATAAATGAGTGTATTTTAGACTATTGTGATTCATTCATTATTATTATCATCATAGTGTTTTGAGGCTAATAAATCTTCACTTATACCAGTCTTGTGTTCTTACTTCCTCATCGTGGGAATTGCCGAGGTACCTCGTTCCGAGTATAAGTGATCAGCGTTTTTTCCAGCACAGCAATCACCGACGACCGAACATAACACCGTTCTACTAATTTTCTACTTTCAGAACGTTTTATACTTGATGAAACTAGAAGAATTCATTATCCTATAAACCATCCATATGTTGATCATAATTTAACACAAATAATCAATGATTTAATTGGTAATACACAATTTACTATTACAGTAAGTTATATAATGAAACTTGATTTTTGATTTTTTGATACATTGATATCTTATGAACTGATAAATATTGAGAAGTTAACAAAGTATTCTAGTAACTTATTGATGCCTACTGAGTTTTAATTGACCCTAACAATTAGCTATAGTACTTAAATAAGTCTAAGGTTATTAATAAGTAAATATCTGTGTTTTTCGCTTCTTTTTTTTCCTTTGTGCTTATCTTTCGATGAAAGCAATTTGTAAACCTGGTCAAAATAATCCGAAAAAAGTACTAACTTCATCTCTTCGATTCAAATTGTTCTAACTAATCTATTTAGAAAAGTGAAATCTCAAAAGAATTTTTATTTTTGGAAAAACTAACGAAATATAATTTTTCGATATGTTTATTTGTAACTAAGTTAACAGAGTGATATTAATAGTTGAGATCATGAGTCAATTGAAGCTAGACCAACGTATGCTTATTATTGACTGGCTTCCAGAGGTATATCCTGGAGTTCTAGTGAGAAGCAGTGACCAGTGGAGTTCAACAAGGTTTGTTGTGAGATAGTAACTCACTGATGACAATGGTGGTTGTGTCGCTCAATTTCATGGAATAGTTGAAGTAAGACATTAACACCGTTAGATGTCGGCTCACTGATCTAGTGGTTAAGCGCTCACGCGCAAGACTGATAGGTCTTGGGTAGTGGATGTGCACTGTTGAGGGGTCCAAAAATAAGACGAAATGGCCGTCCAGTGCTTCCATGTTTTTCGTGGTGGTCTAGCTTCAACTGACTCATGATCTCAACTATTGAAATTACTACAGTCTCCACAAAACTCCTTCACATTGATATCAATAACTGACTCTAACTCAGTTTATTGAGTTTGAAATTTACAAGTTGAAGTCATGTTTACTTCATGATTACTAGAGTTTATTTGCTTAAGTCATGTAAATTGAAAATTCTGTCAAGTTCTTATTGTACTGTTCTGAGAGACTTTGTCTGAGTGAAGCATAATAACAATAAAAAAAATTACGTGCAATCAATTTATTAGTTGAATTTACTCAGTTACGTTTAGTCAATTACAAACGTAATATAACATGAGTTATCCAAAAAATAACCAAATTAGATTGTTGGTTGACGAGGTTTGTGAAGACTATTTGGGTTTGAAAATGATTTTCGTGAAACAGTCAAATCACTTGAAAAACTAATCAAAACTTGAGGGTAATAGACAGTTATTTCGCCAAAGATCTAACCTACGAAAGTCAAATTTCGCAACTTCTTACCAAAGCACGAAGAATCTATCTAGAAGCTAGTCATTGGTAAGTGTTTATTCCCCTGTTTGATTGGTTTACACAGACCGTACCAGTCCAATCATAGTTTTCCTTATAGATTGACGTCAGATGAAGTATCCAAGCACGGTTGCAGGAATAATATAATGAATAATTTCAACTTGGGACAATATATTTGTTAAGTGCTTTATGGTCTCTAGTGTCTCTGAAGCTGATATCAGTACATTAAGGAAACCATTTTGTAATTAACGAGTAATATATATATATATATATATATATATATATATATATATATATATATATATATATATATATATATATATATATATATATATATATATATATATATATATATAAAACTCGAATAAGGCTAACGTTAAATTTCTCAAGTCTACTTAGATACCAATTGCAATAAAACCGAAAACGAATGGATCATATTGAACTGAAGTACATAGATTATGAAATATTGGTAAAAATAAGTTGTTTTTACGCTAGTCAGTTCCCTTTCTATGATCAACTGTATTTACTTTCATTTATATTTCACATTAAAAAGTAATTTTATTGTTTAACAGAACCGTTTCATTTCGAATGTCAGCATTAAAACTCATTAAGGTTCCTTTTGTCTCTTAGAAACACTTTGATAAATAATTATGGAATTGATTTCAAACATCCAATAACACTGCTATTCAATAACACAAAAATAATAGTGATATAAACAAAAGAGCGTTGATAGTTTGAGTTCAAAATCTTCTAAAATAATAAACTAATGGAAATTGGTGTAAGATTAACCTTTTTGTATAAAGTTTGGGCATCAAATTTACAAAAGAAGAATTACTTTTAGGAAATTATCACTCATGATTGAAATATAACAATTGCCAAGTAAATAAACATTAGGATTAGTCGGTTAGATATTTTCTTCTAAAATAAAATTCGTTGAAGGTATATTATAATGCTAAATCGTGAAAAACACCAGAATGTAAAATTTTTATGCTCTTTATTACTCATTTGAGTTTAACAGCCATGCAAGAATTTGTCAGAAATGAGATTTCAATGGTCATTTCATGTACTTACTGACGTTTTCAGGGTTTTCATGTAGTAGTCTGTTTTCGCAACAAATTTCGTTCGTTCACTAGATTATGATTTCTCTGAGTACTTTGTTGAATGATAAACATTGTTCTAAGCGATTTTCTAATGGTGTTCAATGATTTTATTCAAATTGTCTCAAAGATCGACAAAATTGCATTATGTGACAATGATTTAAGAACTGTTTACATGAAAATACCGAACTCATCAACAGATTTATACAGTATGAAAGTGCCTATTATTTTTTAAGTCAATGAAGGCATGGTTCAGTTGTAAGTTCACTAGAAAAAAAATAATAAAAAAGGATAGATTCTGAATCAGGTGGAGTAAGCGATTTGTGCGATTTAGAGGTCGTGCCATATCATTCTCCCTGTAGGACAGCAAAAAAAAATTTTCCTATCAATCCTAGACAACTACAGTTCAAAATGAAGGTATTTTTTTCTCACAGGTTTTCAAAAGATGGATGATAACTCCCAGTGTATTTCGAACTTCGCATAAAGAGAATAAAAGTTGCTATTTTGGTCCCGATTGACTCGGTAGTATATAATTATTTGACCGTAATTTTTCGCCAATACAGTCGTTCTGTTTCATATGGTAACATGCCTCAGAAATATTCTTAATGGAGCAGGACCATTACCACTTTATCTTCCTTTACATCCTAAGTTTTTGATTATTTCAAAATATATTAACATCAAGGAATCTATATTTTCTTCTTGAATCATATCTTTTACGCCTAATGTTTCCTACGAACACTGATTCTTTTAAAGCTTATACCAATACGATATATTTCTGTGCTGATATAGTGTAGCAATTTGAACTAATCCACATGTATACTTGGTTCTATAATGTTAGTGGCTGAAGTGGAACAGGAAACTTATATCTTACTGCGTTGTTTCAACAAATGTTTTCTTTATATTTCTGTTATATTTCACATTACAAATACTTCATTTATTGCATTTACAGGCTACACCAGTGGTACAGAACGAATTATTTGTAAAAAATTCAAAAAGTTATAAAAAGCAAATAACCAATCTTTATCGTGTAGGTCCATATTAAAATAAATGATTTATTCTTATATTTGAATTCTCATGATCCGTTTTTACATGAAAGAAATAAAGGTTTACAATAGTTAATGTCGTTGATACCTAATAGAGAAAACGATAGTGAAGATTTGCAGTTTTTAGTGTTATGCTTTATGATGTTCAAACTGGAAGTGTATTGTATGTAAAACTGTACCATTTGATGTTGTTTTTCCTGTGTACAGTCCCATCCTAGGTAACTTAATTAAATTTGATTTTTCTGGTGCGTGTTTTACTATAAAGCTAGATATCTTTTTCAATACTGCATAGATTTTGGAATTAAAAGTATTTTCAAGTAACGTACAAGAGTTTCATTAAAACTGCTGAATTTGCTACCATTATCACTAATCAAAATAACAAATAATCTTCGTAGTCTACATTTATGCACATCAATAAAGATATACTCCCAAATGACGTATATACATGATTGTATCTGCATTGAAATTGATTGAATAACAAATAAAATTATTTTCCTACTATTACTCCAAATGATGACAAATACTTTTAGTCTTGGAAATATATTTTTACTGTAAATGGATCAGATATAATCGGATGTGATTAAAAATTAATGATATATGAGTTCGATTCGATCTTCATTTTAATTTTATAAAGAAGATATACCCAAATATAGCTAAATATTTTGACTTATTATCCAACAACATAATCATTTTATGATTAGCATCAACGCTTAACCCATCAAACACTAACTTACTTACTTACGCCTGTTACTCCTCGTGAAGAAGCATAGGACTATCATCAGCATTCTCCATCTAACTCTGTCCTCGGCAATCCTTTCCAGCTCCTTCCAGTTGTTATTCATCCTTTTCATATCTGCTTCTATTTCCTGACATAATGTGTTGTTTGGCCTTCCTTTTTTTCGCTTCCCTTCATCAAACACGGCCGGACTATAATTTGTGGACAATCCAATCAGATATAAGATAACGAGTCTTAGATCTTGGTACGAAAATCATTCGTACATTTGGCTAAAAAGTGTTTTGCCATTTCAGCTGATGTCAATGTGTGATAGAAAACGCTAAATTTAATTCCTAACACTAACCATCTAATGTAAATCATAATTCCAATTCCTTACACTGGTTTATAACCTTCATTTTGTCCTAGTGAGTAAGTGGACATTCTCAGGGTCATTTTAGAGTCGCTCAAAGGTCTTTCATAAATTACCGTCTAACCTCTTATTATTAGAAATAATTTCTTTTAAGAATTGTGTTGAATTAATTTTTCTTGTGAAAAATATGTGCATAAAATTACTCTTGTTTAGGTTATAGATGAATTACGTGAACAAATAAATGAACTGAAGGAAGAGAATAAAAATTTACGTGCACAGTTAGAAGAATACAAAAATTGGGCTGATAAAAGTGTGTTCTCTATAATTTTAACTACTCGAATAGAATTATTATTTTTTGAAAGGGGGGTGTATATTTCATTTCATGTAAATGTTTGTTGTGACACAATTTTATTATTAACTGGGATCCCTTAAAATTGAGTAATTTCATACATTTCTGAAAAGAAAAATAAGGACTTTGAATATCGATTAAGCCCGTTTTGATCAGATAATGATCTTTTAATATCAGATGGGTTTTGTGGATATTATAGTAATTTCAATGGTTAAGATAATGAGTCATTTGGAACTAGACCACTATGTAAAACCTGGAAGCAATGGACGGCCGTTCCGTCCTATTGTGGGACTCCTCAGCAGTGAGCATCTTTTGTTAGGCAATCATAACTGAATGTCACAATAAAACTGATTGATATATTTGGTTACAAATGTGAATCCTATAACCAAATGAACTAGAATTTGCAGACTTGGTATGGACTTCTGGTTGATATAAGTGAAATAGTAATATAGTTGACGAAATGTAAATTTTGATAAAATTAGTTTTGTTATGTTCTGTCAGAATCATTGTTCTCCAATCGATAGATTTAAAGTGTTATCTACACTAACATAAGTATGTAACTATGAATATTTTTCTCATTAATTAGAGATACTTTGATAACACAGATTAATTTTTGCTAATATTATAGTCATTGAATAGTGAGTTACAAGCATGTTCTCTTAATTTTAGTTCTATTATTTCTTTGTAAATTTTGTGTGAGATGACCATTCAATTTTTACTATTAAATAAGCCAGCGATGTTCGGGAGTTTCTGTTAATTGAATGGGCGGCTGTTGTGAATATTTGACACGATATTTGTATGCTGCGTGGGATGAGCTAAACTAGTATGTTCGTAAAAGACAGATTTGTATAATTTCAGATATTTGAAATAAAATTTTCAGTAAGAATTGTACTCTTATACAACATTCGCTCACCAAATGAACGGAAAGCTTCCCGAAAGTGTTTGGATATTGTGCATCTGTTGGACACTAAAAACCAGACGGATAACCTAACATATAATTCCGCACTCAGATAACATTTGTTCGGTTTGATCAATCTTGAAAATAATAATCTTAACAGTTGAATTCATGAGTCAAGTTAAGCTAGACCACCGTTGAAAATCTGGGAGCGCGGAACCGAAGGTTATGGATCCAAGTCACGTGTCAGGGATCGTGGATGTATTCGTTTGAAGACACAGTAAGAAGAAATAGTCGTTCAGTGCTTCCACGTTTTCAGTGGTGGTCTAGCTTGGATCAGCTAACAAATTCAACGTTTTAAGTCGCTACGATCTCCATAAATCCCCATCCTGAAAATACTAATCACTAAATTGGTCGGTATGTAAACTCAAATTCAATTATTCTCTCAAGTTTTTATCAATACATTTTCTTGGCAAGACTTCCGTTGGCAATGTAAAAACGTTTATGAAAGTTTCATCTACGTATTAGCTTGTGGATTACTTATGTCAACGTATTGTAGTTTATCAGTTATCCGATCAATGTAGTTTGTATAGTTCCTCTTCTGTCATTAAAAGTCTTTCAATCGTTCGGAATTCGGAATTACTTCACGCTAATCGAAATACAACGTGACAATAAACTGGGGCACAGGTATCCTTTACCCTCATCAAAGAGTGATACTTAGTTCTATTTTAAGTAACTAAATGAATAAAAGTTTATTAGACTTCAAAAATACGATTCAAAAAAGAACATTTGTCTTGCAATGCATTATATCTGTTTAAGTGTTCTATGAAAAATATTTCCTATTTTATTTATTTCCTACATTATGTCTTATTTTATGTGCTGATGTTATAATTCTTAATTCTAGTTGGTTTAGAACTTTCTCTATGAAAAAGTTTAGTTTTACAGTCCATAGATAACAAGCGAACTATAGATATCTCTTAGTTCCCCGAACTTGGATCACTTCCACTAACATTTTTTACAAACAAATTCATTATCTTTATCAAATTGTTGCTATACAACTTTAAGGAATTTGTAACTAAACTTAATAGAATGGACGTTATCTACTAGTGGATTTATAATGATATATATATATATATATATAGTCATTCAATTAAGATTACAAATCTTGTTACAGACCGTGAAAAACAATATATTGAAGGTCCGGATGAAAAAGTCAATGAATCGACATTTACATGGCATGCAAAATTAAACGCTCTTTTAGATCAATATAGAGCAGAAAATGAAATTCTAAAGTAAGTTAGTTATTGATGTTTTACTTTTATCATCTCATTTTTACTATAGTTTAGTTAATAATTTTAATAACTATGATAATAGACTTTTCGTTCACTGAATCTATACACTCAATAACTAAGTTTGTTGGGGTGATACAGAAATCGCTTGCAAAATACAAGCAAGCATCAAGAAACACTAAGATGTGTTTCTTCCAATCAGCGCTCATTTCGAGTTTTGGCCAGAAATATCAAGGTAGCGAAACGTCACATGCGGAAGCTCTGATTGGTTGGCTACTGCAGTGCAACTATGTTTAGTAGCGTTCCAGAATATTCCAGCGACCCAAAGACATTTAGATAAATTATAAAAACCCTATATTTTCTGTAGTAAAATGAACCTTGGAGTAAAGTGTTTTCTCTCATACTTGTGTCTTCTCTCTGGTGTTCAAGTCGCTGTGTAGTTCTAGCGTGCGGGTCATCGGAATAGCTTAGGAAATAAATATAGCGTCCAATCGACAAGACTTATCAAGTTTAAAAACTGATCTATATGAACATTATTATCCAAGAATCTGATCTATGATAAAAGAGATATTTATTTTATAAAGATACATTTTGTAGGGTGATGTATTCTTATCCTAATAGTGGAAAATATGTTAAACTTTACTTATTATATGATCTATTAGGTAAACGTATCCAATATCTCTTATCCCATATATGTAAATAAATATATAGTTATGAATTGTTCTGAAGCAGCTAATCAGCACTGTTTTGAAAAATGAGATACTATCAAGTACTTGTTTACTTTTATTATAAATCATATTCAATTATTTACCAGAGTTCCTAAATATTTTAAGTGTAAGCGACAATATTAGTGAGACGTATTTGAATGTTTAAGTGTTGACTATCACATATAACTGAATGATTCGACTCATCCAGTTAATTACTACTATTAGCAACTGTATATTGACTAGTAAATCTTTTTGAACATTTATAGATGTTCGGTCAGTTATGGATAATAAAATAAGCTAAGTGTTTGCTGGGCTCAATGTGACTATACTAATGATAAACTAGATTTCGACAGAATTAGTATTCGACCTTTTTCATCAATCATTTTTTAAAATAATCTTTGTCTTGTGTCGTAGAAATATGTAAAAAAAATATCTCTTATGATTCACAAGGACGATTAACCTGTTATTAAGATTGTTTTGAATATAAGTTAAATTTATTTGAACAACTATTCTCAGGAACATAAGACATAATTTAATTCGTATTCATTTGGATTATTCCATTGTTGATACTTTGAGTGAATTCAATCAATTCAAACCATTATAAATCAAAATTCATATTCGATGCACAAGTGAATAGCTATTTATACTTAATAAATAAGTTGATAATCCGCTAGTACTTGAAGCTGACGATAGCAAGTTCAAATCCTAGAGTGAATATCTACTCTGAGCTGCAAGTACATCCAACTGATGAGTCCAAAATAGAACGAAACACTTATCTTCGATTACATTGCTAGACAAAATTTCATATATATTTCATATAAGAAAGTTGTAATATTTATTAAATCATCTAACAGTTAAATAATCAAACAGAATATTTTAACTTTTTAATCAATCTCTTCAGTGTAGGTAGAAGTTGACGATAAGTTTACATTCACTTTAAATGTACATTGCAACTGTAAAGTAAGATTTTCATGATTATCACAATTTTCGATTAATCAATTATTAACAAGATCAATGAAATATTTGTTCATCTCTTGAATTAACTTAATGGCGGCAAAATATTCTCTCTCAATTTATTTAATAAATATTCTGTCTTATTATCTCAATGAAACGTATCAGTTATTGTTGTTTTCTTTCCAACTGTCTGCTCACCAAACGAAAACAGATCGTTGGTTAATTTTATTTCATTGAAATTATTAAATTAACTGTTATATTATTAAGTTAAACCTTATAATTGTCTAAACGGATTAAACTAATTGTTTTTCCTTCTTGAATATCATAGAAATTTTATTCTTTTTTTATTTTCTCATTCCAAGATCTCATAATTACACTCTTAATCAATCTCAGCAAGCATTATGTCAAGACCATGAGTTAATGCAACAACAGAACAATAAATTGAAACAACAAGTAGATGAACTTAAAAGGTATCTCTTTAATAAAGTGAATATTATAAAATAAGTTTAAGTTGAAACATCTTTATCCTTATCTTTTAGTCTAGATAGTCAATGAGTATTTGTATATTATAAAGCCTGTATATTATTAATACGATCTTTAAAGTTTGCATTGGAAGAATATAATGAAAGTTTTTTGAATGAGTCGAAATAATTGTTCTTAAGCTTATTTATATTTTAATAATTGAATTCATGAGTCAATCTAAGCTAGAACACCATTGAAAACCTGAAAGTACTGGACGTCCGTTTAGTCCTAGTAAAGGATTCCTCAGTAGCGCACAACCACGATCCGCACGCGGGACTGGGACCCATAACTATCGGTCTCATACGCGAACACTTAATATCTAGACCACATAGCTGCCATCTAACGGTATTATTGTCTAACTTCAATCGACCCATGATCTTGCGCGACCCGTCATCCATTGTTTGAAGCGTAAAACTGTCTCCACCAGGCACGAATCGAACTTCACTAATCACGACTTCTCACTAGGACTTCAGTTAATCCATCTTAACGCCAGTCACCAGGGAGCACATGATTATTATCAGAATGGGGATTCGCGGATACTGTATTAGTCTTAGCAGTTGAATTCATGAGTCGATCTAAGTTAGATCACCATTGAAAAACCGGAAGCTCTGGACGGCTGAGGAGCCCTATACTAAAACTAAATCTGTACAAATCCCCATTCCTATTTATATTTGCGAGTAATGTAATGCATTTTAAAGAGTAGAATATAAGACAAAACAATTTTGTATTGAGTATTATTCTATATGTATAACTGGAACCATAGACTGAAGGTAAATCTATCCTGGGCTTATCTAATGTGTTTATTTAAAAAAAGAAATATTCTATGAATTGTGTTGACTGATTTATCTCTTGAATTGATATGAATAGTGTGATCATCGTTACAATGCTCCAATGAAGGGATGTCAAAAGATGGAATAACTTGTCAGCAAGAATTGAAACATTTTATTTAACAAAGTTATACACTTATACACAAAATATTTTACCAAGCTTACTAGTTGTCCGCTATATCGTAAAGTAAATAAGAATGTACACGATTGGCCATGAACATGTATCAGCTATAAAAGTATTGGGTTTACCTATACGATGACGTGATATTTATTTTCGATTGAACTGGTCATCATTAAATGAGACAATAAAAATTTAGATCATTTTAAATAAGAAATCAAATCAATTTTTGATCTTATTTCAGTAATACACTTTGACACTTGTAATACTGTTAAGATTCTTAATAACTTAAATGCAAGTCACTTTCGCTTTAATCCTTTGCCAATGATAATAAAATGAAACGTATGAATAAGTTTTACTTCAAAATTAAGTCATTCTTAATGATGAAGCAAACGCTTCAGATTCTGTATCACAGAATTTTTTTAAATGTATGCGAAGTTATCCATCGTTTGTCACATTTGATTTTTACAGATTATTTTCAATTTCCATGGTGGACATTTTTGTAGATGATTTAAAGCATTCAGTTTTACTAGATCTCAGATGAAGAATGTTACTTATCCATACAGTTAGTACACTACTAAGCAACATCTTGTAGGGACTGTGTGCTATTTTATGTTGCTCATGAACTAATATTGCAGAATATAGGAAGCTAAAATAATTCTAATCAACATTTCTCATAGTGAAATCTACATATATATTGGAAGAATTTATTCGAAATAAGAACCATAACATACGTATAAATAACAATAAATATCAAACTAGTAGTCTGAAATTATACTACACTAAATATAGTCTACTATAATCAGTTACAAAGCGACTTAATAACTGAACGAATGTTAACTGCATACTATTTAAAGTTCTTTGTACTGAACCAAACTGATTAATAATTATTTTATCTGAGATAACTGATATTACCTTCTAATTATATTGTAAGTTATATCCGATAAGCTAACATTTCAAGTTTGATAAAGAAGTACTAAAGTTTTAAATTATATAATCACCATAAGCAATATTTGGAAAGAATAAAATTAAGTATGAATTTATTATTTATTTATTTATTTGAACACATAAATATTGGTACAAGAGGGCACCAAATATATATGCGCCATACCATATTTGTGTGTGTGGGCTGTGATACTGCCCGGGTGTCCAAACCGAAGCAGATGGTTTTCTTAGGAGGTCACACCCGGAGCTTTTGACCTGAAGGTTTGATCCACAAGGCAGCAGAGCATCGTGAGGAGATGCAGTCCCATGGAAGCCGGTGACCAACGATTGGTTCATACACCATTTGTTCCTTCAGGATACTGGAGCCCATGTGCACCATGAATTTATTAGAAATATTTTTTATGAAACATTCAAAAATATAGATAATCTACTGATCTTATCAAATAAATATTGGAATTATATCATCACATATATACTGCAATGATAATTACTAATTAAATACTGATAACAACATCGATGACATTATAGTTCATTATAAATAGTTTTCATAATATTTAATTATTTCATTCATTATTATGCATTTATTCGAATGAAATTCAGATCACAGAATCTTATCTTAGCCAGATCTCAGTCGGTATTACGTGAAGAAAGAGAACGTATGAATAGAGAACAAGAAGAACTTAGTCGAGAGTTAGCAAATGTAAAAAAGTAATTTGAAAATTAGTTCAGCTTGGTTATATATATGTATATATTTCTGTAAAACATTAATAAACCATGATTTGTTTATTTAAACACATACGTATTGGTACAAGGAAGCACCGAATACATATGCGCCACACAATAACAGTGAGGTCAGTAGCAGTTATCATTGATTTGTGCAAGGGCTGTGATACTGCCCGGGTGCCCAAACCAAAGCAGGTGGTTTTCTTAGGTGGTCACACCAAGAACCTTTGACCAAAAGGTCTCATCCACAAGGCAGTGGAGCAATATCATACAGTTCTATAGTAGTCAGTGATCAATAATTGGTTCATACACCATTTGTTCCTCTAAAATACTGGAGCCCATGTGCACCATTGGTTTTGAATCAGGGTTTTCCAACTCACCTAGGTGGATTATCCACGTCCACCAACCCGGTTAAAGCGCAGGACATTCGCTTTTCGTCCTCTCAATTTCGTAAACAACACCCGTGGTGCGAGAAGGCAGAGAGTAGGACTTCTGTGGCAGTGGTTGTATGCAAGTGGCCATGTGAGAGCATTTCGAGAGGGAGAGCGGACTCTCTCCACTCTCAGCCGTACCAGAGCATAAACCATGTACACTTGTCTAAAATTTTATCTCAAGGATATCAAGCAGAAAGCGAAAATCATATCGTCAAGACTTACTCAACATATAAGTACATTACATCAAGTTGTAACATCACTTCTTTCAGGTTTAGAACAATAAAATCGGATGGCTTTACAAGATAGAGTTTGAGAAAGGTATCAAACTCCACTGATGAATAGGTGCATCATTTTAATCTTCTCTATTCAAAATGTTTAAATAATGGAATTTGATTTGGTTTTATAAAAACAAACCGTATTTTTAATTGACCTAAGAAATTTATCTTGATTGTCTTACTATAAATTGCTTTTAATTTCTCCCTTGGAAACGAAAAATTTAGTTTTACAAACTCTATCAAGGTTATGCCTTTTGATTATCCTGTGGAATAATCAAGTTATACATGGACGATGAAACTAACTAAATCCTCTAACGACTTTGTAATGTAGAAGTTTAACACCGATTATCAGATAGACCACAAATCAGATTTTGAAATCATCATTCACTCAGCTGGTAAAAACTAATCTTCATTTTTCTTAGGCAATCTAACTATACAACTTAAAAAGGACATTTACTTATAACTTAGAAATTCGTTCATAAAATTTAACAAAGTGAGATTATTTATTTCAGATCCAGTTCTACTCACGGTCATCGTGATCTCTATATTGATTACTGATGACTGTGAGGGATAACGAAGCTATATTTAAGTACGATTCAAAATGTGAATCGTTAGAAACCTAATTCATTGATTTAAATGTATCTTGCTAACAGCCGAACATGAAAGTCTCGGGTCTAAATCATTTAGATAATGTAGATCTGTACTAACGATAATTTCAAAACAAGCAGAAAACAGATGTAGAATTCTTAGTTTTCCGTGATTAGCTGCCTGAAGTAAGCTATCTTTAAACCGGAATGAAGTATAAAATTTACGTGTTGTAAACAAACATTAGCGCTAAATTAGATGATTAGTCGCATACTTACCGATCCAGTATAGATTTTTAGATATTAATAAATAAGATCCATTTCTTTTTGTGATAAATGTCATTTTACTAACCAGCTTAAGCTTATGAAAAAGCAGTAAAGAATAAAGCTTAAAAGAATATTTGTACTTATAATTATAATGATTTTGGTTATCTACACTTTGTCAGTGTTTTGTTGGAGACTGATGGTATCCACTGAAAAACAGTACCTTTCTGACAGTTATTAGAATAAGCTATGCTATTTACAAACTTACTAGCACACATCCATTCATATTTGTACACTGAAACAGGTTCTCTTAATTGAAATATTCATAACTTTCTGTTTATCAAATACTTTAGAGTTTGGGTTTTAAAATATTTATCATGAAGCCTTATTTGGGGAACCATTATACACCAAATTTTTGCAAAGAATCTTATTTGCGAGTATTTATTTTAACTACTAAACAGTATATTAGCAAATGCATTATAACTGTTAACGAAGGCATAATACTGCGAATAACAACCGCACGTGTTTGCCAAAAAGTTTGGCTAGGTAACAAATCCAAAAGCATCAAACAGGTATGTCCTTCGACCTTACATTTCATGCATCAAAAACGTAGTAACTGAACGGGTTGATCAAACTGTTCAATATTCTCAATATGAGACATTGGATTTTGTTAGTGGTTTTATCTGTCAACTGTTTTTTCTTTCTAGAAAACTGGCTCAGTCACCAACCCAATGTCCCATCCATCAAGGACATCGACGGTCCAATATACCAGTTCCAAACAATGATATTTATTCTGTTCATGATTGTCCAAAACATCCTATACTCAGCAAACAAGATGGAGGTATGTATATTCGTCTATAAACAAAAAGTCAGTTACCAATACATTATTAATCATGAGAAGTGGCCATTGACTATTTGAACTTATGCAAACTGCTAGAACGTTTACTAGAATTACCTACCATAAAATTTAATGCTAAACTTTGTGGAAACCACCAAATTAGGGAATTTTAAATCCATATATTCTCCCTTATGTTTCCCAGCTACGTTGGATTTCTTTTGAAATTAAACCAATATTTTAACAGTGTTTAGATAAGTATTTTATGATAGGATGAAGCTGACAAGTTCGACCGACAATCCGGCAAATTAGGAATTTTTGAAACTTTTATTAACAATAGAAGACTGAGATAACATCCTACCTGAACATTTAGTCTTTTTCCAAGCAATATCCATTATACTGTACAGCTTAAAAGGCCAACACCAATTAGATATCGTTTACCCTGAATGGTTTCTTAGGAAATAATTTCTGATTACTATTAAAAAGGGTGAGTATTTTTTAAAATTGTAAAGTTCAGATTTTCGAATATAATAGTCAACTTAAGCATACACAATGTGTTTAGCATAGGAGTCAAAAATTAAACAATATACAATTAAACATCGTATTTATACTTTTCTATATAAAGAATTATAAACTATATTTAGTATAACCTATATTCTTCTACCCTACTAAGGCTAGTACCAAATGTGAATAGTTATCTGTACCATAATGTAGTTTTGGAAGAGAGAGGTAAACTAATGCCGAGGCGCAATAAAGATGGTATATCTCAGTTCATTGACAGCCAGTTTATCAACAGTCAAATTTTGTTGAATAAAATGATATTGCATTTAAATCTCTGTTATTTACGAAACACAACTGTTGAAAGTGATTATTTATATATGAAAAAGTTAATTAAGCGACTCTTAGCACCAAAACACCTGAAGGGACCTTCTTCATAAGACGAACATATTAAGTAATTACAATTTTATGTTTAAAGATATAGTATAGATAAGGTGAAATTAGGATGGTTGAATAAATACCAGGTGCTTGTAAAAGCAAATAATATCGAACAAATTGGTATAGGCAAATGTTGAACTTTCATGCTTATCCACTGCAAGACATTCATATGAAATGTTATATGATTTATCTAAAATTGCTGATCTGAATAATGGAATAAATAAGTTGGCAGTTTCATGATTATACTCATAGGATGGCCTCCGAAATCCCTACAGAATAGACTTCAAAAGACAATCACTGACCAGTTCAGCTTTTGAATAAATAATGAAAACTTAAGGCCAGTATTAAGGTACAAAATATTCAGTCAAAAGATATTAACTGAGAGTTACGTGTCATTTGACAAATAAATTGCCAAAAATGAAAATAAACCTCACAAAGCAATCAATAACTGGTCAATCATAATCGATGTGATACCTAAAAGTCTGGATGAAATTTTTAGTACTAAACTCACTGTTCAACTCAGTCATATTTATAATTAATTTAGATTTTAATAGAATTAGCAACTTCATTTTTCCTTACTTTGTCGCCTGTTTGTATGAAATATAGAACTCAGATAAACAACACAACTTTGGTGAACATGAAATATTTTAGCAGACTGAAACTATCCACTCAATACAGTTCATGATTCCCATATGTTTCATTACAAAACCATAGTTTTTCAGTCATATAAAGGACTGTGACTTTATCTTTTTTTTTGTTTTACGCTATTTCTTCCAGAACCAACCAGAATGAAAAGAGTTCGTATCTGTTCTGCTGCGCATTCATCTAGATTACCAAGATTGAATATCCCTGGTCAGACAGTTAATGTACCAATAAGTAAGTAGAAGTTGTTTTAAACAGTCTTTTGAAAGGTATCGACTATTTCTTTTAGCATTGAGATCCTATGATCTCATACATGGTTAGATCCACTAATTTCAATGTTTCAAACATTTATTTTTAAATATTATGTTGTGAAGACGATTATCAAAATTATATGCCCTGGTTAGAAATTAATCTCATTTCCTTATGCGAGGATTAAGTAGATCAAAAGAAAAAATCTTCAATCAAAAGTTTCTTGATATTTATATCGATGTTATCAAGGTAGTTCCACTGATATGTCTTTGAATACACAGCTCAAATTTTCCCGTGGTTTAGATTTCAACAGACCTTCGCATTTGCCCTAGATCACTTCTATACAAAAGGTTACAAAATCTGATCTTAAATCACTGAAATGATCCGTTATTATTAGATTTAGAAAGAGAAGGATGAGTGACCTGCACTTGATCTAATTAGACGGTTTGTAATTCATTGTTTTTTGAACCACTCAGACGCATGTTAAACCACCATTATTTGATCATTGTGTCTTTACTCCTCTCTATGTGCAATGTTGATACTGCTAGTGTTATGAATGTTTGTTACGTAATGAGACCAATATAATTCGATGCAAACAAAGATGAGAGACTATATTCGGAGACTTCTTTTTGCACTAAACACTGATCAGAATGACATCAAAATATACAATGTGGTACGTTATCTTAAAAGTTCGATCAATAGGTAAATTGAATTGATAGTACTTAACAGTAATTAGTCAATAATTTAATGTTAGAATGTAATTAAAAAGGATAATAGATTGCCTATCTCAACTAACAGATGTAAACAAATGTGAATAAATAACCACAACAGCTTGTAAATCGACCAATTACGTGCTATTTGGCTACTTATTGAAGTATGAATTTCGTTTCTTTCAATAATGGTTATCTTGGCTTCATAAGTTCTACTGACAGCTTACTTAAGGCTTTGTTCTAATGTAAAAGCCATTAGATCTACCTCTAAATATTATGATGTGATATCTTTCTAATGTCTTTTATTTGGTTTATGGATTAAAATAAATGTTCATCATAAATCAGTCTCCGACTGATTAGCTTTAATCTAATCCATGAATCAATTGTGCAAACATGGCCAACCCAGTTCAGTGTATGCACAATCAAATATCGTTTGCATTGAATAGTATGTGTAGTGGTTTTCCATACGAGCTAACTATAAATTCTGGGTTTGATCAAACGCTTCTCTTTTTTAACAGATAAGTACACTATCCTTATTTATTTTAACACATAGATATTGGTACAAGGAGGCACCATATACATATGCGCCACACAAATCTCATTCGATATGTGTGAGGGCTGTGATACTGCCCGGGTGCCCAAACCAAAGCAGGTGGTTTTCTTAGGTGGTCACACCAAGAACCTTTGACCAAAAGGTCTCATCCACAAGGCAGTGGAGCAATATCATACAGTTCTATAGTAGTCAGTGATCAATAATTGGTTCATACACCATTTGTTCCTCTAAAATACTGGAGCCCATGTGCACCATTGGTTTTGAATCAGGGTTTTCCAACTCACCTAGGTGGATTATCCACGTCCACCAACCCGGTTAAAGCGCAGGACATTCGCTTTTCGTCCTCTCAATTTCGTAAACAACACCCGTGGTGCGAGAAGGCAGAGAGTAGGACTTCTGTGGCAGTGGTTGTATGCAAGTGGCCATGTGAGAGCATTTCGAGAGGGAGAGCGGACTCTCTCGGCCGTACCAGTGCATTTGGGAGCACACTATCCTAGTTTTCATATAAAAGACTAAGAGAATTTTGTTGACCAGTAAGTTATCCGGGTCTTCGGGTTTGGAACATCTAAATATGAAGAATAGAAATTCCAAAAGACCCTGCATCAAAAATATCATTTCAAACTCATTAGCAGAGATGTCGGTTTCCAAGACAAGGATAAAAACAGTAAATCAAAAAAGTCCACCTAACTGGTTAGCAAAATCATCTTCGAGACCGTGAATTATGCTTCTATAGCGTGAGTTAGCCAAACCACAAGATTTACTCAACTGAAATAGTCACTGAATGGTAACTACATAAACACTTGAGAGCCTGATCCATAACTCCAAGCCACAATCTTAAGAGAACTCAACTCTTTATCCCACCATTACTCTTCTGTTTTAATATATCGTTTTCTTTATATTTTGTTATGACGCTATCCAAATTTGTCTCTAAATAGTATATAGGTTTTCAAATTGACTTTGCCATCTGCCGAATTACTGAGAACCAGACTAGATTAGACACCCAATTTTTTTGAATTCCCAGCATTATAACTCCAAAATCCCACACATAAACTGGGTCAAGAGCTTCGGTTCTCAGATGAAAAATACATTGAGATATACGGAAAGTTTGAGTTGAAGGTTTCTCTCGTTTCTGTTTCACATTATCCTCACAAACTATCTTACTGAATGTTTATATCTGTTTAGTCATACAGCGTCATAAGATTGCGAAACATAGCCTAGTAATTAGCCCACACTTTTTATCGAACCTATTTGGCAATGACAATCAACGTCTTATATTTGTACATACTGTCTACTAACCAAGATGTTTTCAACGTGATTATCACATGTTCTTTTTTTAGAGCGATCTAAGAAGCCAGAGACTCAAACAAATTATATTTTAAGAAGTGCAGCTTACGCAAAACAAAACGTGAACAGACAAACAATACATCAGACGACAAAACCATCAAAATAATTTGTTTCTGTTGTACTTTTCACATGATAATAAAACACATCACAGATGAATTCTCTATTTTTTTAACCGTTAGAAGACAATTGACTAATCATTTTAATAGGTTTACCACAGGATAATATAAAGTGATTTATGCGTGAAATAGTAAACTGGATCTACAGGACAGTTATCAAATTGGTACATTATGACAGTAACGTAACAATCAGGTACATGCTTGAATATGATGCTTTAGGCTTCAGTTGCAAAGTCTTAATATGGATGTAGACTGAACAAGTTCGATTCACATAGTTAGATTATTAAGTAGGCAAACTGATGCTATTTTTAAGACTAAGATTATGTACTTACCAAATTAATTGTCTTAAGAAAAAACATGCCTAAACAAGCAAATATTAATAAACCGAGCAACTAACTTGACCCCTGGCATAATGAAACATGTGCACGGAAACAACTTCATTTCATGAAAGGAGTTGAAAGGCGAAGTCAGTGACTAACTTATGAATTTACCTTTAGAGTATCATGATTTATTTTTAGCGATAGTGCGACTATTATTTGTCACAATGAGATCAAACAAGACAGTAAGAATCCAAACCTTATTGGGTTCAGCAATTTCTGAGAAATCTCTCTTAAAGCTAAATAAATGTGATGTAATCCATCAGGTATAACTAGGATGAAGCGAAGTTGTTTGAAAACTCAATTATTAATAAACGGTAGGTAGATATTTACCGCCTATATATATATATATATATATATATATATATATATATATATATATATATATATATATATATATATATATATATATATATATATATATATATATATATATATATATATATATATATATATATATATGAAAGCGAAATCCCTCCTTTTTACGCAACATCATGCTCTAGATTCAAAATGTCATAAATAAGAACACTTCATACAAACAAACTTAATGTTCACACGAAATTTACCCTGCTTTTAAAAATATAATGCTGAAGAAACACTCAATGGACATGTGGTTTTCGTATAGCTTAAATACTCTTAACCTAAAACATGCTAAGCCCAACCCCATCTTACTTGCTTCCATTAATACAGCCATATCACTAATGTCCTAAAACAATGAGTCACAGGTCTGAACCTTACTTCTTTTCAAACCACATTTTACGTTTGGGTTTTTACGGGCGTAAATGCTACTCCTTCGGCTATCCTGTAATACTACTTTTTTTACGTTCTGTGCACTGTACTGATATACTATGGCTGGTGCTACGTTATTTTTAACTGATTGGGAAAAACTGACAGGATAGGTTGGTACTTACATTGGAAGAGTGAGTGAAAGTCTAATAAGTGACGATAGTGTACAGAATCTGTGGCTTTGAACAAATTCACTTAATATTCATCTCATATTGATTACCCTGCATTTTCTCTCATAAAGACCAAATGGATGATTTGTTGACAAACTCTAATCCCTCTAACTTTGGATTAACTGGCAAACATTCAAATCATTTTATGAATGCGAAAAAGTATAGGGTTCCAATAGTTGAAGATTTTACATGACATGTCTCTTTTCGAACCATACCCTCCGTGTTTATTCTTCTCGATACAGTTGGTGTTTTTACTGTTTATCTTTTTTGCTATTTATGTTAGTAAGTTTTCAGTATGCTGATGGCCTCTTGGACCGAGGCACAATTGTACTACGCCCTATGTTCATGATCACTGACAGAAGGCCACACTGAATTTTACGATTAAAGATGCACTAAAAAAGATCACATATAAATCATATCATCCTTCGAACAGACTAATTCAAAGAACACATCAAGTATTGTTATTTATTCCATAGCTATTTTTGTGCAAGGGCTTTACCACCACTAACATCTGTATCCAAATAAAAACCTATAGTTAGGTCGACAGCCTTATATCAAAAAATCTAGCAAGGTATTTAACTGTACAATAAAATCATTACACCAAGTAAGTTTACTCAGAGAATTACTAGACAGAAAGTAATTGGTCCACTTGTCGTTAGTGTCAAATGAATCATCAAAAACTTGTTTAAAGTGGAATAATCTGATTGCATCGCACTCATCAGCCAACATATTTTTAAAGGAATTTATTACATTCAGGATGTTTTGAATTGAGACAACTTTAGGAAGGCGACTGTTTAGAACGTAATGGTTTATAACGGCCTCGGCAAATGAATTTAGAGTAGAAAATAGATGATCCGTTGAATGATTAAATTTGTCTCTGGCATCGAATGATTTTTCTTGGTATTTGCCAACAGCTAATTTCATGGAAATACTTAGGCGTGTTTCAATGAGTTCGTTTAGAATCGGAAACGAAAAACACGGTTGGACATCAACTAGCAGATTATTTTCTTTACGACTTTCATATAAGTGTTTGCAAGACTTCGTGAATGAAATAAATGCGGAATCCCATTCTTGAACAGCGTTGGATATAATGTGCATGTGATCAGCATATCCGCAGGAGTTATCTGAAGTATATAAAATCAATGTAAAGAACATGAAAAGCTCGAGAGACTATAACGGTATAAAAGTAGGCGATTAAGTGAGTCGAATAATATAATATAAGAACTAAAAACCAATGTTATTTCCTTATTTGATCCTAAATTTTTGGATAAGTGGTTTCAGTAGTTGAAAATTACTAAGTGTAAATATTATTTAACCAAATGAGAGGTATGTAGTTTCTTGAGGTACTCAATATGAGGGAAGAATACGAAGAATTACTGATATCTACACATCATAAGGAAGCATAGGTCGTTTAAGAAATCGGCATTCTAGACTGAAAGGGAAGATAAGACCAAAAAAGAACACATGGACAGGAAAATTGAATGTTATAAATTGAGACTTTAAGCAAACCGAAATATTCAGTTACCATGGTTTGTGCTTGTATATATTGGTGTAAAATATGGCTTACTGTCCTAGGTACACAATTTAATTTTGAGGGTTTACTCATCAGTTATTTTTAACAGTTAAATGGTAGCACTGGCATTAGAAGAAATTATTTTAAAAAAGCCAGGCTCTTCGGTGAGCTACGAATTCCGTAAAGAATATTTAACTTGTTCGAGTTACTTGATAGACATTTTATGTTAAACAAGTAGTTGTTTGCCAAAATAAGATTATTCGAAACATATTTTTTGAGTAATTGTTACTTATCCCTAACCTAAAACTTAAGAACACCTCAAAAGCGTTTAAAAACCCCTAAAAACGTTTTCACATGCACAGATTTGTTCAGTGATTGAATTACAAACCATTGGAGCTCTCCAATATGCTACATTACGTTGGTTCTGTTTAATGATATACTGCAGTCTAAATTGGATTTCAATACTTCTACAAGATCCAAGGATCCACTGTTCAAGCCGATAAACCCGGGACGGGATCAAGTATCGAAATTAACGGTAAATCAAACGAAGTGTACAAAAATGATGTTACTTTTTGTCAGTATTCGTCAAATCCAAATACCTTAATATAATTTCTGCACTGCATGGTACTTTATATACTGTAATTAATATCCTGTTGACTTTCGGATCACATTCTTGACAAAAAAATTTAATACGATTCTCTTAAATAGAGAGTTATCAGCTAGATAGAATAGATACAAACCTTGAGGCATATGACTTGAAACATTCAGCCTTTCGTAGGTTTGTGTCTAGCCTGAAAGTACCTTGTAAGCTGCGTGGGTGAGGAGCAGAGAATCTGGAAAAGAAAATAACAACAGGAGTCCACAGCTCAGGAGGTATATAGCATGCACTTACACTTAACATTGAAAGCAATCGATAACCATTAGAATTAATAAGCTGATAGTTGAAACTAGAGGTTGATAGCTGGAGGCTTCGAATGAGTTACAGAGCTGCAACGGTTTGCGTACAATCAGATGGTATTTTAGGTGCTAGGGGAGGATGCTAAATAGAACACAAAGTGCACTTACATCCAGTAAGAAAAGCAATAGACAGCAATCAGCAACTAAACAAGCCTTAAATTAAGACAATCTGGAAATCGAATTGGAACCAAACAATTTATTCCGCAACTTTAACATCAAACTGCAATCCAACCTTTGAAAACATTCAATGAACAAACCATTGTTTAGTGTTTATTGAGTTCCATTTTCTCAATTTGGCACGAAATAATATATTATAGTAAGTGAATAAATGAGTGTCTAGTGATTACGGAGATGTTTTTAGTGCTTTTGAAAAAAACAAGCATTTACCACTTACTAGGTTCTTTCAGGCTTTGTTATTAAACATAATTTATTGCTTGCAACTCTTGTCACAACTTAGGAGCGGCCAAACCAAAAAGTAGCATCAGTCCTTAAAGGTCGCTAACTTTTGGCCTGAGCCATGTTGATAGATACAGACTTGGTTGGGGTCCGCGCGACCATAGTAACCAATCGTTGGAGACTGCATGACATGGATCAGAACCGATCACAATATCGTAGGTGTACACACTCTTTGTCTTCCCCTAAACCCGATCCCACTTGATGGAGAAACTCTCGAAGAATTAGAAGCTTCTATGTACCTAGACATTATCATCGATGAACAAGAAGTTGATGCAAATGTAACGGCAAGAGTTGGCAGAGCAAAGGCCATTTTTCTACGGTTAAGATGAAACTCAAAACAACTGTTAACAAATATCAGTCACGGACCCGTAAACACACCCTTCTAACAATAGCAAGTAATTCTTATATATTTTGTATATCTTCTTTGTGTTCTATTAACTCATCTTTGTATACGTTTAGGAGCATTAAATAAGTCAAGATATTCTCATATTTGTATTGGTCCGCCGCATATCGAATTGCAATACAGCTCAATAACAGGGATGTTGTTACGTATGTGGTAGGTCATTGAGTAATGAATTTTCGACTAGGACCTCTTTAGATAACTTATCTAAGCTTTCCTAGCAGGTTCAAGGGGCTGTCGTCTCATTCCAAAATAACATCGTAAATGGACAGACTGCGTCTGCTGATCGTTTATGGAGATCACTATAACTTCCAACATCGGGGTTTTTTCTGACCAAGAAATGCCTCAAATGACAATAAATGACATTACGGATCTCTACAGAACTCTTAATCGTTTTCTCAACGTTAATCATGAAGGCAAATGCTCCGAAAATCCTCAAACAAACTCGTAACGAGAAAGGTCCTCATTGAGACCACGAGGAACAGATAATCCTGAGTGCATGTGCACCAAAACACCTATGGTAAATCCTCTAAACATCCTGAGAATTTCTGCAGTTTTGTCAACCCCAAACCTTCCGGGAAACATTTTAACCGCCACACGATAACAGCGGCTGTGACTGATGAATTTAGTCGTTTGCTATACATCACTGATGGGCTTTGTCATGAATAAACATTCAACCTATACTTTCAACAGACACTCGATAGGTACCCTGAGCATTACAAAACACAACTGGAACTACCGTGTGTGATCATAAATGTTACATACCACTTCACGACTACAGGACCACCTGGATTTTCAAAAGCACACAGACTAGCTCTCAAAAAGCCAAGATTTGCAATAAACAAATTCGAGCATTTGGTAGACTTGTTAAGTACCCTATCATCAAACAATCCATAGGCATCACCCTTGTACATAGTCCCTTGAAAAGACAAGTGATTAGCATCCAACTGGTGATTATCGGTGAATCAGAATGAGAACGACACTTAATCACAATTCCCTACCACTTATTCACGACCTCATAGCTAGCTTAAAACGTACGTGTCTTTTTGAAAATCGACTTGGTTTACGTCTCATCATATGGCTTATATTTAAGCACTTTACTAGTCGAAGAGTCCATACTAGAATCGTAAATGTCGCTATGTTTTCTGGGTTTTTTTATTCCTTATCTTATTCGAAATTTTCTTATCTGTAGGCTCATCTAAATCTTCAGAGTAACATATCGTCTGTGTATTCGCATCACGCTGATGATAGACGTGTTTGATACTCTTCACAGTATTAGAGGTTGTCTCTAGTTGGTTATTTGCTGTAACACGATCATGTGATCCCAACTCTCCGTCTTCTTACACGACGCTGACAAGGGTGTTGTCTCTGAGCGGCTCTTACGTTTTACATGGAATAAACGAACTAAAATTTTTACTCGAATTCATTAACTGTTTAGCACCGTTACAACAGCTAAATTTAAACAAAAGGGAGCATGTTGACTCGTCCAACTTTTTTCTGTAGCGAACGAATTGGCAGCTGAAGTTCAGCACAGCACTTTCGAGGGCTAATATTCCTTAGCTTGGTGGGGTGTGCGGTCAGTACCATTGTAGGCGACCACATTGTAGGAAGACACCACTCTTTTCGTTGCTTCGTCAGCCACGAACCAAATGATTCATTCGGTTTTAGTGAAGTGTTTGGGGTTTTTATTATTATTTAAAGCCCGTATATGCGTGGAGGATGCTAATTGATTAAGATTATTGTTAATTTCAGCAGGTGAGTTTCCTATCTGCCGCCGCCGTTTGTGAGGTTTTTATTTTTGACCTAAGTAAATTATACTGATGGGTACACTGTGTTAACATGTCAGTGTATGTTGGTACCAGATGTTTTATATTAGCCGGTCCCGATCTTACAAGTTTGGGAAATTTCGGGGAAATCCTCAAAGTGAAATGACCTTCACCCAGGTTAAAGGGAAATTTTGGGGTTTTGGTATCATCTCCACAAAAGTTTCTATAGCGCCTTCCCCGAAATTGGTCTTACTGTTGACCAAACGCACAGAGATAGACGGAATGTCACTCGAAAAATCGAGTAGTGATATCTGTAGATAAGAGGCACAGAGTTCAGAAGATGAATGTTTAACTTTGCCAAGTACTGATTCGTCAGATATAGGTATTACAAATTTCGACCTTTTGGTTGGTTCAGAAATCAGCGATATTTTCTATTTACTGGGGTTATCAGCCATAATTAAAAGCTGAGCGAGTATAGAGTTCGTCTAAATAAACCGAATAAATGAGTACATAGTTGTCGTTAAGTATTAACTGGCTTAGTACTAAAATCAGTAACTGCGGTAAGTAGAGGCTTTAGAGACCGTAGGTTTAGATATTTAGTGATGTGTCTGACGTCAATTAAGTATTTGTATTTTAATTAGCCTGCCCAGGAGATGAAAACTGAAAAAGGTTAAATGATATAGTCTTTTATAGAATATTTACAAAGGTCAGTTCACGATAGATATGTATTAACTTCATGACAAAACTTTCAGGAGGAAAATTAATCTGCTATACAATATAGTGTCGTAACCTTAGTACAACACACTCTAAAAACTGACTAGCCTTAAACATATCTGTATCACGTAAGGTGTTCCCACTTACAGTGTTCGCGCCAGGTTATTAAGCACTTGAAGGTCAAGCAGTCCAAACGGTTCAATTCTATCGATCGTGAAACGAAGTAGAATGCTTTAAATTTGATTGATTTTCTCAATATTTTCATGCAAATATCACAAACCCGCTTATGTTCATATTCATTTCGAATATTTTGAAAATTACTTAGTATACTTGAAGGAATTGTTGTGGACCAAACAATATATGAACTCAAATGCTCAAAGCCCTGTAGTTTTCCAGGCTCCAAAACGTCGACATGAAAAATGTAACAAGAAATTTTCCAGTCGGCACATGTTGATGTCAACCGTAGCAGGCAAACATTGCCGTCTGCTTTATATCACCGATGTGGTGACGTAAGTTTGCTATTTCATCTACACCGATGAAACAGTAGGAGCTCTTCTCGCAATTTTTAACGAACACCTGCATGAACCAGTTATCAACTCAAAGGTGACAAACGGGAAGTTCATTGATACATGTGGTAAACCATATGTTTATTTTAACATGTCTTTTAGCAAACTTATTCATTGGTTTTTCGTTGTTACGAGTGTTTCTATGTCTACCATTGGTATGGATCTACTACAACATCATAATCTACTCACCATTACGTAAAAATGAAGGTTAGTAGACAGCAATACGGCAATTATCTGTTTTTGGAAATTTATTTTCCGGCTATTGGACATCTCCAGTCACTAGTAAACCCAAAGTCGACCCATTCTATCAACGGATGCTGGATAGGTACCTCGAACTATACCAAGCACGACCAAAATCGCTGCGCGTAACCTGCAATCTTACGAATCACATCACCACAACAGGACTACCCGCATTTTTGAAGAAACGCTGAATATCTCTCGAAAAGCTAAGGTAGGCCATTAAGGAATTTCACCACATAATAAACGCAAGAATTATTCGGCCATTGAACAGCCCAAGGGTGTCTCTATTCTATCTGGCCCCTAAATGGACAGCAATGATTGTTGGCCAACTAGTGAATATTGGTCACTGAATACGAAAACCATTCCACATAGTTTCTGTTCACTCCCAATTAAAGATTTGATAGCTATCTTTACGGGCACAGCTTTTTTTCCGAAAGTTGATCTAGTTGGACCATATAACCGCACTCCTATGGCTTCATACGTTGCCTTTAAAACCGTTATCGTCACTTTCTTCGGACTCACGAATTTTTGCGCATGCCTTCCGCTCAAATATGTGCTACAAAATCTTTCCAGAGATTCATCGACGACGTCTTTAGAGGTTTCAACTTCGTACGTGCATATATAGATGACTACCTGATCACAAGTCCGGACTGGGAACCTCAGCACAAGCACCAGAACCTTGTTTTCGGACGACCCAAAAAAATATGACATTGATCCGAGCATCCAGAGTGCAACTGACGTCATGGACATTTTCCGGCGTGCTAATGAAGCCCAAGATATCCACTTACTGCAAAGCAAAGCGGTGACCATTCTGGATTATCCTAAACCAGCCACAGTCAAGGAACTAAGTGTGTTCGTCGGCCAGTTGAATTCTTGTCAACGGTTCACGCCAATTTGCGCGTCCAACATGAGACCCTTAAAAGATCATATTCGTGGAAATGCGAAATTCATCGATTCGAACGAAAGCATGTGGAAGCATTCTTCACATTCAAAGGAATTATCACAAAAGCAACGATGCTCCCACGCACTTCATCAAGGCATCTATTAGTGATGCTGTAGACACATCAGACTAGGCAATAGGAATATTCTTACAACAATAGGTGAACAACACCTGGCAACTTTTCACATTTTCCTGAAGACGATTACAAAACACTGGATCGATGGTTGGAACTTTTGTCAGGGAACTCCTAGCCATGTGTTGTGCTGCACGACACTTTCAACACTCTGTGAAAGGCCGAAAATACGCTCTGTTTCCCGATCATAAATCTATTAGGCTTTCTCTTGACTCTTCCAACAAGTACTCTCCTCAAGAGTCTCGACACCTGGACCACGTTTCGCAGTTGACTGAAGGTACAACAGATTTCTGAGGCACATAATGTGCTGACAGATGCCTTGTCCAGTGCAATCTCCTTCAACAGTTTCCAAGTTTTTGAACTTCTAATACTCGTCCAGCTTCAAGAGTAAGACGCTGAACATCAGCAAGAATCATCTTCAATAACACTTAAACTACTGATCGAACAGGTGGAAATGGATCAAGAAACGTTGCCATGTGACACATTTACGCGTGAGGATTGCCCAATCGTGTCGGAGTATTATCGATGTAACGTCTTCAATACGTTTCTTAGGTAAGCATCCAGCTCATCTAAGAACGATATTATTGTCCTGGGAATAATAAACAAACGAGGGAATGGGCGCACTCCTGAGTAAAGTGCCAAATCCTAAAGCGATTGGACAGAACATGCATTCCTTGGGCTAGTTCACAACTCCGCATGCTCGTTTCAACTATGTTCATCCCGATGTCTTAGGACTCTCAATAAATTCAGATGGATACTCCTATCTGTTAGCGTATGTGACCCATGAGCAGTACCCATCAAAGGCATAACTGCCGAAACATTAGCTGGCGCCGTCGTCGAACAGTTGGTAGAAAACGTCTGTTACCCTCCGACCACCACCACAGGCTATGGGTGCTAGATCGAATCCGAACTTTTCCGTTGTTTCACTACACTCCTAGAGATTGCACGATTCCGAAAAACCTCCTATCACCCACGACCTACCATTGTAGTGGACATGCCTTATTGACAGTAGAAAGCCTCACTTCCGGATGTCAACGTACCACAATGGTCTGATGCTCCCCCCAATGATATTCGCAAGGAAGTGAAAACCGGCGTTTGATACACTGCAGCACAAGTCATCTACGGAATGACACTCCTTCAGCTTTTTCAACGATTTTGGGTTTAAACTATTACATGACTAGGCTTCAAAACACTATGCGTTCATTTAAGCCTGTTTCCACTCGACTGCGCTCAACTGACGTCTTCACCAACTTAACTCGCTAAAAAAGCACTAACATGATTGAATTCACTGTATTATTATTATTATTCACAAACATCTTATGGGTAAATAAGTGTTGTGAAGAAACCCGAAATAATATTTTTCAAAAAACGCATTAATGCACAATTTTCAATAATGTTAGCATTATACTTGCCATATTTAAAAAAAATTAGAGTAATAATAGTAGAATATTAATAATAATAAATCGGGTCTGTGTAATTGAGAAGAATATTGAATTGAGTTTGAAGAAGGAAGTAGATAAAATAAGGGAATAGAAATAAAGGAGACGTGAACTACGCAGACAGTTTAATTGACGTATTTATGAACATAAAACAATGACAAACGACTATGTATATATCGTCAAATTAGTAACAAAAAATAATTAAGAAAAAACAAATTATGACGCTGGAATAAATGTTTGTGCAGTCATAGTTTGGAGTGATGCGATGAAAGTCTCAATTAAGTAAAAAGGATAAAGAAATATCAATATGTATGAGTCATATATGCATTGTGAAGATAAAACGAGTCTGAGAAGTTAATTTAAGTGTAACACAAGTTATTGTCTTAATTACAAACTTCGTAATCTTAAGAATATTTATTTAGAGGGAAAGAAGAGAGAAATGAAGTGAACACCTAGTGAAAAGTTTCATCCATGATAAGAATAATAATTGCCTAATGAATATCAACCTCAGAAGAAAACCAACAATTTAGAAAAATAAAATAAGAATCCTTCAATGCACTCGGATGAATACATTTAGATTTATGTAATAGTATACAGAGTGAAACTGGATATTAGTATAAATATTTGTGCAATAATAATTAAGAATGATGCTATGAAGGTCACAATTAATTTCAGAGGACAGTCAGGAATCAAGATAAGAAGATATAAAAAGAATATCTAATATGTCGGGGGAACAATAATGATATTAATAACAGCAATAATTATAGATACGAACATAAGCAGACTTCATATATCAAGATGAATAGAAATAAAATAGAATAGACGTGAAGAGATTTAAAGGTTTTATTTTGCTTTACAGTCAATTAAATGAATGAAGGACCTTGTTTGTACAAATCATTATTAAATACATTGATATTCAATAGGTGACATAGTCCACTTTCGGAAAGAAAATCCTCAAGCAGACTTCTGAACCGGGTTGTAGTTTCACTGCAGCAGAGGTTCACTGGCAGTCTGTTCCACATGGTTGAGTAGCGAATAAGGAAAAAATTCTGACGTAAGTTTGTGTGGGCTCTTGGAATCGCTAGAGTGTTCTCCTTATTGCGTAGATTGTGGGATAATATCATAAGGTATGAAGGGGTGGATACCGAGGAGTAGGAAATACCGTTAATAAGCCGGTAGATGAAGACAAGATTTGATTTGATACGTGTGATCCAAAGAGGTTCTAAGTTGAGTTGTTGACATCTTTGGTAATAGTCTTTGTTATCGGAATACCCCAGAACAGTTTTGGTGAACTTTCTTTAAACACCTTCAATTCTAATCAGGTCATTATGTCTACAATTACTGTAAACTAAAATACCATATTCAAGAATGGGTAAGATACATTTTCTGTATAGTAGCAATCTCGATTCGATATTATTGAAGTTTATCATTATCAATCCGATCAGCTTTCTAGCTTTGGATACTTGACATATAATGTGTTCAGAAAAGTTCAGACTGTTGCTATATCTTAAACCCAGGTCACGAACAGTGTAGAGAGGTTTGAGTGTATGTGTGTGTACAGTCAGATTTAAGTTAAGGCAGCGACCAATGTGAATAAATCCGCTTTTATCAACATTAAGTGGCATATTCCACGAAACAGTCCATTCGTAGAACTTGTTTATTTCCTCTTGGATTACCGCTGAAATATAGCTTTCTTTCGTAGGAGAAGAGAATGAATATACTACTTTCAGGTCATCAGCAAAAAGGAAAGGCTTACCATACTGAAAGAGGGAACACACGTCATTGATAAAAAGGAGAAAGAGTAATGGACCAAACACACTTCCTTGTATAACCCCACT